AACCAGGTTTTCCAAAGAAAATAGATCACGAGTACTCTTATTAAGGAGTGGAACATTTTTGTAACGGACTAGATAACTTGAAAATGACTAGCCCATTGCAGAAGAAAAAGCTGCGAATTCAGTTCATCCACTTGAAATTGTTCTACAGTAATCAAAACCTCAAGGTTCAGATCCCATAGATCAGAGCCAACCTTTGTGATAAACTTAGTGAGGTCTTGGAGACTAGATAGTTGGTGACATGTATACTTCCTAAAAACTAGAATAGATTTTTACTGAATAGTGGTATATCTGATGGTCTATGTTTCTTAAAGGTCCAAATGTAATAAAAAAAAAATTTAAAAAAGAAAATGGTGTGGGTGTTTTTAATGCACTGTGTACTTGTACGCAAGTCAAGCATGTGGTCTGCTGTCTAAAGCCTGCGACGGATTTGGACGCTCACCCTCACCCTGCCAGCCATCTGACCTGCAGTGGTAAATTCAGTTGTACGAAATACAGGCGAATTAACACTCGCATTACACGTGGAGGCTGTGAAGGGAGGGTTGGCAGTGACATGAAGACTGACCATGTGATCTTGGTGACGGAAATCCTGCGCGCCCTGAGCTTGCAGAGCGAGCGCTGCACCTGCGTGCCCACCTATGCGGCGGGCTCCCTCTCCATGGGCACACTGCTCCGAGCGGTGCTGAGTCTGGCCTGGAGTTGGGCAGCGTACACTCTGACATCACTTGCTAAGTAACTCAGAACTGGATTCGCTGTAGTCTGAGAACTAGAAATCAGTCAGTTTCTAGCTGTCAGGCTACAGCCCACACCAGCCCTGCCCAGCAAATGGGACAGCCCGTTGGTGCATTCTCGTAGGCTGGGCAGAGCTGATTGGGAACCGTGGGAACTGCGGAGTGAGGCGGCTGGTCCACCGCGGTGCCACAGTCTTGGAGGGATGGACGGAGCCGGCGGAGGGCGCTGGGGAGACTTGCAGCCCAAGCCTGCCTGCGCGGTGCAGGGCAGCAGTCGTGGGTGAGCGAGGTCGGAGGACTACAGTGTTTAACCTCGGGGGCGACGGGACTCCCTGCTGGAAAGAAGCCTGCAGGCATGGATGTGCCTTAATCTTGAGGAGGAGGATTTGGTAGAGGGCTTGGATTTTTTTCCATGACCCTGTAGGCACTGGGCAAGTAGCTAAACTCGGAGTCCATCTTCAACTAGGAAATGGATGGAGCTACTTCTGTAATTTTTAGTGTGCTTGTGAATGCGCAGAGATTGATCGCTTACACTTTACTAAGGTTAACAAATCAGACACGAGAATCTTCACAGTCCCTCGGTTTTCTCCCAGAATTTTCATATTCTTTAACTTTTCCCTGTGTACCATTTTCAGTGGTTCCTGCAATACCTGACCCTTGTCTAGGCTTGTGAGGCCTACCAGTGCATGAGCCACTGCGGGACCACATTCACGACCTCGTCCCATAAGATTATAATGGAGTTTTCAAAATTCCCATTGCCAATAATTTTTTTTTCGCCAATAATTTTTGCTATACCTTTGGATGCCTAGTGTCGTGTTTCAGTCCCTGCAAGCAGAGTGCAGTCAGGCGCCATGTATCCGAGCAGCACATGGCAAACTGCCGCAGCAGGCTGTTATCACTGAAAACCTGAGAGGTTAGGCAGAGCACAGTGGCTGGGGTGGATCCCCCATGTGCCGTGCCGGCCCCACCCCCAGAGCTTGCTGAGACTGGACATGGTGGCACATGCCTATAGCAATCCCAGCTCTTGGGAGGCTGTACACAGGCGGATCACTGAGTCCAATCTACATAGTGAGACCCTGTAGACCCTGTACTAAATATATTTAAAAAAAAAAAAAAACACCGAGAGGTTCACCCTCATGGGGGCCATGCAGTCTAGGCCTGCAGAGCTGGGCCACCCAGGTGTGAGTGAGTTTGCCCCATGACATTCACAGGACGTCAGGGTTACCTAATGATCTGCTGCTTGGAGTGGGGCCCTGCTACTCAGTAGCCTGGGGGGAGGGAGACAGACACGATCTCACCAGAACAAGCTGCGTGAGTGGCGTCCAGCGAAAGACATAGGTTAGAACAGCCCAGAAGGTTTCGAGACCAGCACAGTTATCTCTGGAAGCTGGGCCACACCCCAATTTTTTTGTTGATCCCACACACTTAGATACTAATTCAGGCTATTACACAACAGGTACCGATAGTGTGAGACTCCTACAGCCTTCGGTTAAAGGGACTCCAGTTTTTCACATGAGCAGGGAGTAAAGGTGGGATTATACTTATTAAATTCTCATTCCAGAAATAATTCCGCTTCCCACCACCAAGAGCAGCTACATGCAGGACCTCCCCACCTGGCTTCCCCGCTGCGTGCTCCTTTGAGCTTGCTGTACTTCACCAACTGGGCGAAGCTTTCTGAAAAACAACTGACTTCTTCATTGGTTTTGTTTTGTTTTGTTTTGTTTTGTTTTTTTAACTTCTTCATGATTGATGTATTAAAGGGCTTAGCATATTTGCCGGTGAAAAATACCCTGTAGGGCGACGCCCTGTCAGGCGATCACGCTGAATGATGAGCTGGCGGACTGTGACCAGCTTTCTTCGGGCAGTATGTTCTTTGGTCAGTCCTGAGGTTAGTAGCAAACAATTTGTAATCTTAAGACTGTTTATAAGCATTTCGCTGTTATGTAGGTTGAGCCATATGAAATGGCCAGGCTAGGTTTTGATCTGCAAGCATGACCATTTCACCAGAACCAGAGTAATAACTTTACTCCTCAAGTATCAGCTCTTCGGAGCTTTCAGAATGCGGAATGATGGAAATTGGGATTTCCCTGACTGCTGTACAGGTCTCTAGTTCTTTTACTGCATATAAACAACACCTGATTAAAAGGCAAATTGCAAACTATCAAGTACCCAGTAGCCCAAGGTATAAAATACACTGTCATGGATAGACCTTTTCATTTAGCACCAGAAAGCTCTTGGCGTACCTGCAGGAGCAGAACATGTTCTTGTGGGGCGGGGGAGTTCCCAAATGGTAGCAAACATGTAAAACTGAAACAAAACTTGCAGATACTGAGGAGCCGGACAGGGAAGGCTGCCCTCAACTCCAGACACTTGGGAGGACAGAAGATCTCAGGTCGGTCACCTCCCACACTCACCCAGCTGTTGGTCCCCATCTCTGCTGAAATAAACACCTCCATTTGGTCTCGGGAGCCAGCCGCCTCTCAAGACACGTGTTCCTTCCTTAATTAACTAAAAGCATTTCCTTCTGTTGACCTGCAGGCTGACTTCCAATCCTGCTTAGACACCCCAAAGTCCCAGAGAAAAAAGGCAGTCCTCTTCCTAGCAAAAGATGTTCAAATATTTCAAAACGGGTAGCCCTTGAGATCCATTTCAGTTCTCGTGGAAGTTAGTTTCTCCTCCGGGTCTCTCTTGGTGAGCTGGGGCGAAGGAGGGTTTCTCGCCTTGTGACTACTGAGGTCTAGACCGCTAGAAAGCACCTCTCCTCGAGTATGGTCAAATCAGAGCTCCGCCCCAGACACTGCGTTTAATCAAAGGACCACATCTCTAGACCTCGGAAACCATCTACGCTAAGGGGGTTGCCCTGCAGCGATCGCAAGCTCGTGCAGCCCAAAGACTGTACGACCACATTATAGATGCGAAGCCCGCGACACGGTGCTGGTGGATACCTTCACACAGAACAAAATGAGGCATCTCCCCGCTTGGTCGTTCTCCAAGTGGGGCCACTTCCATGCCATTGTCACGGTTTTTACCATTTCTGGGTGCCACCGGCATTAGTATTACTTCACAGTTTTCTTTGAATTATTGTCTTTTTTTTACTTTACAGGAAAACTTTATATCAGCATAGATGTAAAACAGCTGTCTTCTGTTAGAAAAAAATCCTAAACACAAATATCTCAGGCATTATGCTTATGCTTAAATACATGCTATTTTTATTGTTGTTGCTTTATTCTTTGAGACAGGGCCTTGCCATGTAGTCCAGGCTGGCCTTGAACGCGCTATGTATAGCAGAGGCTGGCCTGGACTCACGGTAATCCTCCTGCCTCAGCCTCCCGGGTGCTGGGGATTATAGCAGCGCACTACCACATCATCTTAAATATATGCTATTTTTAAAGAACCTGTGTAAGGGCCGGGGAGATGGCTCAGTGGAATAAGTGCTTCCCTGGCAAGCGCAAGGCCCTGAGTTCAATCCCCGGTTCTAAAAAAAAAAAAAAAAAGCTGGAGATTTAAAAAAAAATAAAGAACCTGTGTAAAAGCTCCACTCCCTCCTTC